TAACTTGTAACAGAAACACATAATTTGAAGTTAAAAGAACATATGATTCTTCATGATTTATTAATTTTTGTTATTAGATTATTTTTAAAATAAAAGCATTCTTCAAGTTCAAAATTATAAAAAAATAAGACTGAAATATAACATTATTTCAACATTATTTTAAAGTAACATTATATTCCAATACTATTTCAATATAAAATTATTTCAAATTATGAAACATATTATTCTAAATTATATAAATACACATGTAGTGTTAGTGCATATATATATATATATTGGGTTGTCCGAAAAGTTCGTGCCGATTTTGAAGGAAAATTGAAACGCAGAAGATTTAAATTTTAGTATACATTTATTAAATTATATAGGTGCCATTCTATAACCTTTCTCCATCTTTCAGGCAACTTGAAAATTCCGTCCTTCCAGAATCTCTGAAGTTTTTCAGCGAAAAACTTTTCTAAATGATTTTTTTACCTCGACCAAAAAGTTTCGTTAAGAGAATTTTATAATGATCGAAATAGGTGGAAATCAGAGGGCGCGAAGTCTGGTGAATATGGTGAATGGGGTAGAACATCCCAACCGAGCTCCAACAACTTTTGTCGAGTTATCAAAGACACATGAGGCCGCGCATTGTCCTGATAAAATACGACGCCCTTCCGATTCGCTATTTCTGGACGTTTTTGTTCAATTGCTGTCTTCAATTCGTTCAATTGGGAACAATACTCTCTGAATTTATCGTTTCGTTGTTTGGTAAAAACTCATAATACAGGATCTCTTTCCAATCCCACCAGACACAGAGCATGATCTTTTTTGGATGAAGACCGGCTTTTGGGGTGGCTAAAGGTGGTTCATTCCGCTTTCCCCAAGATCTTTTTCGCTCAACATTATTGTAAATGATCCATTTTTCATCCCCCGCTACTTGCTTCAAAAATGGTGTTTCCTCGTTTATAGAGCGAGTCGCAAATAGAAATGCGATCCATCAGATTTCTCTCCGTTAAATCGTGAGGAACCCATACATCAAAACGGTTTATGTAGCCAAGCTTCACAAAATGCTCGTGGATGGTGGATTTTGACATATTCAACATTTCTGCTAATTTACGTGTCATATAGGGTGGCTTATTCGATCAGTGTTTTAATCTGATCTTCATCTGTGGTGAAGAACTTACCCGAGCATTCTTGATCTTGAAGATTGAAATCACCAGCTTTAAACCTAGCGAACCATTTCTGCACTATTCTTTCAGCTACAGCTCCTTCGCATAAACAGCGCATATCTTGTTTGCCGCTTGTGTGGCATTTTTGCCTTTCCGGTAAAAGAAAAGCATTAAGTACTTAAAATGCACTTTATTTTCTTCCATATTTAAAGGCATACAAAAAATTAACGTGACAAAAATTAATATTGTATTGCAATCAAATTTTTTTCCAAGTATGCCTGAAGTACCGTCTTTTACGATATGTACGCATGTCATTTGTTTTCAATCGTTCTGATATATTCAGACCTGTCCTTACACCACTTACCAAAAATCGGCACGAATTTTCTGGACAACCCAATATATATATATATATTGCAAAAATTAATTAATTATTGTTATTTTATTATGAACACAAGTTTTAGTGCAAGTTAAAAGTTTTAAATAATATTATTATTAAATGATTGAAAGCTATACACATATATTAATAATAAAAATATTTTCAATTATTAATTTAAAATTATTCTAAAAAGAAAGTTTTAATTCATTATTTAAGTTGAGGGAGCTTCATCAGTTCCATTTGTATAATATAGTTAATAGTAAGAACGCTCCTGAGATGAAGCGGTTGTTTACAAGCATCTGATGATTCGTTGCTAGGCAATGCGCGACAAGAAGAGAACAGTAGAAATGTCGCCAACGAAATCGAGCCGAAATGTGTAATAAATCCCAGCTCTGCTTTAAACTCTTAAATCTTAATATTTAATTCCTATGTGCGATTATAGGAAACGAGGATTATGTTATCCCTCCCCTCCTCATCAGATGGCGTTGCTGCCTGGATGTTTCAGATATTCCATCTATTTTCGCTTTGACCGGAATTACTGTTAGTTCTGCGGCAGGTGCCATTATTACTCGAAGAAGAAGATAAGTATACTGTATAATGCCCGTGTCATACTACGCATTGGAGACTGAGGATTAGAATTCAGCTAATTAAAACGAACTGGATTAAAATTAAAACTACCTGATTGGTCGAATTCTAATCTTTAATTTGCAATCTTCAATCCCCAATGCGTAATATGACATATATAACATGGCATTAGACCGAATCAGATTACGCATCGAAGAATGAGATTGAAGATTGAAAAATTCGTCAAACAAAGTTTGACCAATCAGAACAAAAGGAACTAAAACTTCTTTATCCTCATTGGAATGAATTGATGAAATTTTAGTCTTTAATCTTTAATCTCAATCTTCAATGCATAGTCTGATTCTGATCTTACGCACCTTGTGACTTCATCCTGCGCGTGCGTTGATCCGTATGCATTAATTTGATATCGTATATTGTCGCCGTATGTATGAAACTCTCTTCTCTTCTCTCAAGTTTTTTCCTATGACACGATCGCGCCGGAAACAATCAGAAGTCTATAATTCATGTAAACGTGAATTGTGAACAATACCTACACATGATAAGTGAAACGTGTTTTTATATAGCATAATCAACAGTGTGTCGCATTTCGGAGACAGGTATGACATATCTTTAAGTACATCATAAACATTGTGATAAAAGAATGATGGAAATTGCGCACATTGAAAAAAATTCACGATAACATAACAGATATTACCTTTTAAAACTGACATTTTGAAGAAAGATCAAACGGACCATATTAGAATATTAGAATACGTATCTAGACTCACGTATGTCGAGTTGTATCGGTACAATGTAATCATTTTATTTACATGCCATGTATATCATCTTGTACAAAAATCTTGACGAAAATCGTTTAGGTTATTTTATAATAGAGGTTATAAGATGTTTCGACTGGTAGAGAAAGTTCGAAAATGCGAAAATGTGTATCCTTCGCAAACGTGCATGATATGGAGATATAGCGGCGGATAAAATATAAATTAGATCATTATGATTAAATTCGTAAGTCAGATCGAACGTACATATGTATAAAATGTAATCCACAACCTTTTAAAAAACGATTGGGAGATACGATTAGATATTTATATGTTGTAACGCATTATCTTTACAGTACATATTTAACATATTTAACATAAGAAATATTTTATTTCTGTAATTCATTCTGTAATGAACACAATTCGTGTTACTCAACTTTTTATAATAAAAAGTTATACATGTTCTGAAAATTATTCTGTCTTCATTTAACATATCAAATCAAATACCTTCAACATTATCTTTGTTTTGACTTATTTAAATATTTCATATAAAATAAATGTTTTTATTTATCAATTTGACAAGATATAGCATTTTTTGAAGTTATATTAATATGTGATACATATCAAGTTTATATTATTATAGATTGACATTATGTTATTCATTACAGAGTAATAAGATTCTTGAAAAATGAATGGAATTATTCCTGAAATGGAACAGATTATTAGTCAACTTGAGAGGGGTACAGTAGTGACTAAATTCTTTCCAAGAAAACGACCGGAAAAAAAAACTTTGATGATAAGGAGAGAAACTAGACAAATTGTTTGGTCGAGGAGTACGACTTTTAGACCTTTCGATGGTTCAGGTACGATCCTGTCTGCATGCACAAATCTATGGAATTTCAATTCTATTTATCTAATATTTTTATAGATATACATAAATTTATACATATACATAAATGTCTATAATAGAAATGGATAAACATTGTGATATTGCAAATATATCACCTATAATTGATTCACAAATGTAAAGAAAAATTTCTTGTGTATTATTATGATACACACACATATTTCTAATAACAATTTTAAATTTTGCAATCGATTAAATTTCATCTGTTAATATTCTTATATAAGGATTAATATAGTATCGCATTAATATATATCTGCGATATAAATAAAACTCTCTGGACTGTGAAATATATAAAAAATACATATTATCATGTATATATTGTTATCATTATGCATATCTATTATAGAATAAGATCTACAAGGAGTGTAGATACTACATATTTATTGAATTATGCTATGATTGTTTAAATATTTATTTTAATTTATTAAATATTATTTATTGCAGTGGAGATAAGAGAGGTCAAAGAAGTTAGAATAGGAAAACAATCTAAAGACTTTGAAAAATGGCCTGAAGATGCTAAAAGAATTGAAAATTTAAGATGTTTTGTGATATATTATGGATCGGAATTTAGATTGAAAACTCTTTCAATATCTGGTAAATATGATATTTTTTGGTTACTTTAAGGGTTGATTACTTTTGCTAAAACATATTATTTATGTCAGCTCTTAGTGAGAAAGAATGTGAGCTATGGATCAAGGGATTGCGTCACTTGGTACAAGACACTATAAATGCACCATATCCATTACAAGTTGAAAGATGGCTTAGAAAAGAATTTTACGCGATGGAAAATTCTCATGAAACGCAAGTTTCTTTTCTAATACAATTTACTTTTATATTTTACATATTTCTCTCTCTATGATGATGGATGCAATTTATCTATAGATATTTATATATCATTATATACTTTTTTTATATCAATATATAAAAAAATTATCATTAACTATCATTTTCATGTTTATTATACCGACTGACAGGGTCACGTTGAAAGATGTAAAAGCATTTTTGCCTCGGGTTAATTGCAAAATTGCTACAAATAGACTCAGAGAATTGTTCCAAGAAGTAGATATGAGAAACCGGAATGAACTTGGTTTTGATGATTTTGTCATTCTGTACCATAAACTAATGTTTGATCAAAATGTGAGTAAATATTGTAGTATTCTTGTGTATGAAAAGAGATCAGCGTCAGCACTTCTCTGTGCACAAATTGTAATTGGTATAATATTTTTTACAGAATCTCGCAAATTGGCATAAATTGTTGAATTATTCTAAAACTGGACAAACTATTACGCTCCAAGAATTCCAAAATTTTTTAGTAACTGAGCAACAAGATAAATTGGGAAATAATGAGTTAGAAATATCGCATTTCATTAGAGACTATTTGCAAGATTCTCAAAGAGACATACAAGAACCATACTTTATTTTTTCAGAATTTATAGACTTCTTATTTTCTAAGCATAACGACATATGGAATCAAAAATTCAATCAAGTTTCTCAAGATATGACTCGACCTCTTGCATATTATTGGATAGCATCATCGCATAACACGTATGTACCTTTAAAGAAATAAAAATGCATATGTTCTAACTACTTGGATTATATATGTGTGATTTTCTAGATACTTGATGGGAGATCAGATTAGCAGCGAAAGTAGCTGTCAGGCTTACGTTCGTGCGCTGAGAGCAGGGTGCAGATGTATAGAGCTTGATTGTTGGGATGGTCCAGATGGAATGCCATTTATATTTCATGGACACACTCTCACCACTAAGATCAAATTTTTGGATGTTATTAAAACAATTAAGGAGCATGCTTTTGCTACATCTGAGTAAGTCTCAAAAAGAAAAGAGCAAAAATGAAAAGAAACAATCAAACTAATTATTTTTACACAGCTATTATTTTTTTATTGACACGTTTTATTTACGTAGATATCCTATTATTTTATCTATCGAGGATAATTGTACTTTGCCCCAACAACGTAAAATGGCAACGACTATGCAAGAAGTATTTGGTGACATGTTGTTAATCCAACCTGTTGACAAGAATGAAACTTGTCTACCTTCACCATACGCATTACGTAGAAAAATTTTGTTAAAACACAAGAAACTTCCTGATGGTGTTGATGAATCCTCATTTCTTGTTCGAAATGATGAAAGCAGACAAGAGATGGATCTTAGAAATACCGTAAAAAATGGAATTCTTTATCTGGAAGATCCAATTGATAGAGAATGGAATCCTCATTTTTTTGTATTGACACAACAAAAATTATTTTATACAGACACATTTTCAAGAGCTCAGGAAACCGAACATGATGACGATGAGGAAAACAGCATTCGGAGATCATTAGATGTATGTACATTATATACATATAAAAAAATACAAACTAGATTCATTATTAATTATGATTTATAATCAATATTGGGTAAGTTAATATATATTTTTTTAATAAATTAAGTTAAAGTTAATAGTTTATCAAATTAATGTAATTAAATTAAAAGTTGAATGAACAAAAAACTAACTCAGTTAAAGATTGAATACTTTAAGATGTAATACTTACATTATTTGAATTAACTCAAGTTAAATAAAAAGTTAATTTTGAAATTTTTATTGTTTTTTTTAGTGTAAAAATGAGAATATCTTAATTTTTAAAAAATTGGATTTCTTTAAATAATTTTTTAAAAACAAAACATTACAATATAGATTATCAGATAAATTTAATATTTTATTTATATATTATATGAAATAAAAGTATTTTTTGTACAATAAAAAACTGATTTTTAGTATTTTTACATAAATATTTTCATATTTATATTATAAAAGAAAAATAAAATGTTATTTTTAAAAATGTAAATAATCTTGTATTCCTCTTTGTGATCATGCCTATTCTTTGAAAATTATATATAAATAAAACATTTTTATTCTTTATCGCTTAGATCTAAAACAAGAATAGCATAACACAATAGCATTGATAACATTCCCTAAATGCAGATCCAATCCATGTTCATCTTTGAGCATTACGAGCATCGCGCCCATCATATAATTATTGAGCTTCTTTTGAAATGAATTCTCCAACGTTTAAGATTTTATAGCAAATAATATGGTATTAATTGCAAAATATAATATAGCATTTAGAGAGATAAAAAAAACTAACTTAAAAAAAAGTTAATAAATTAACGTTTAAAAGTAACTAAATTAAGTTAAAAATTAACTCATTCATATTTTATTTAACTTTTAATTTATTGATTAGTTACTACCCAATCTTGTTTATAATAAATATAAATGTGTGTTAAACATTATGTTAAAATAACTTGTATTTTAAAAAATTCTAAAAGGGCGCGCCAAGTGATGAATTACATTTTGGAGAGAAATGGTTTCATGGAAAATTAGCAAAAGGAAGAGAAGAGGCTGAAGAATTACTACGACGTTATTCCTATCTTGGAGACGGTACTTTTCTAGTACGACAATGTGTTACATTTGTGGGCGATTACTGTTTATCATTTTGGCGTAAAGGAAAGGTGAACCATTGTCGTATTAAACTGAAGCAAGAAATGGGTCAAACGCAGTATTATCTTATTGACACCAATTGTTTTGACAGTCTATACAGTTTAATTACTCATTATCGTAATCATCCACTTAGAAGTCAAGTGAGTGCGATATATTATAAAAAATACAATGTATCATTGTGATAAATATATTCTATATATACATGGGTCATTCGATAAGGTAAAAATCTTTATGAATAAATCTTTTTGACATGACAGCTGGAAAGTATCATTCTTCAAACTTTTCCAGGTTAAATTTCAATAATTGATGCGTTGTTCACGTTCACGTTTGATAGTTGTTTAAAGAGAGAAATTAAGTGGATAAGGAATAAAGAGGAATCAATTCGAAGCCAAATTCTGCAATTTTGCACGAAATTTTTTTTTTTTTTTTTTTTTTTTTTTTTGTACGCGACAACTGCTAAATTTTCGCTTTAAATGAACGTGAATAATGCATTAATTCTAGCTGACATTTGATCTGGAATAGTTTAAAGAATCATAATTTTCAGATATTATGTCATCAAATGAATTGTTATACCATTTTATAAAGATTTACCAAACTTATCGAACCTCATACACATGTGCAAATGTGCGTATGTAAACATCCTGAATCAAGAACAAAAGTATTTGTTTTGAAATAAGACCGTGAAATATATATGATTATCTTTGATGAATAGGAATTTCTAATCACGTTACAAGAACCAGTGCCTCAACCAAATAAACATGAAGAGAAAGAATGGTGGCATCCCGAATGTACTCGAATCGCAGCAGAAGAAATGCTAAAGCGTATCCCTATAGATGGTGCATTTTTAGTAAGACCTAGTGAAAGAGAAAGTAATTGCTACGCAATTTCATTTAGGTATATTTCATTTAATATATTTCCTTAAAGTTTATTTTCTATATAACTTTAGATTTTATATAGTCAATTTACTTCTCATAAACTATAACACATGTAAATTATAATCTAATTATAATGTACATTAAATTATAATGTACATTATAATCTATTATTATAGAGCGGAAAAGAAGATAAAACACTGTAAAATAAAACTCGAAGGGAGACTCTATACCACTGGAACCGTAGAATTTGAGAGTTTAGTTGAATTAGTCAATTATTACGAACGGCATCCATTGTTCAAAAAAATTAAATTAAGTCATCCTGTTAATCAAGATGTTATCAGAAGAATGGGTTTGGTATGTGCATTTACTTTTGTTCGATTTTTATTCGAATTCATATATAATATGTAAATATATCAAATTGCTAAAGGATATGAAATATTGTAACATTCTTTTTCTTCTGTACTTAGGATAATGATGATGGATCTGTTTATGGCATCCCAGGTTATATGGATCCTACAAGCTTTACGTCAAAAGTAAGCTTTCCGAAATGATGCCGATAATTATCAAGTTTATATTTACCAATTCTTATAATAAAAATATATATAGAAATATTTTTTCATAAAAGTAGATGTTAATCATAGATGTGTATAATTCAATATATTAATATATCGAATTATTTTAAAGGTTACTGTTAAGGCTATTTATGATTATAAAGCTAAAAGAGACGATGAATTGACCTTAGTCAAGCATGCTATAATTACTAACGTTAATCCACAAAGTGGAGGCTGGTGGAGAGGTGATTATGGTGGTAAAAAACAACATTGGTTTCCTGCTAATTATGTAGAACAAATTGATCAACAAGAATCTCAAGGAGACGTAAGTTTTGAATTTTACATTTAAGCATGAATGGTCAGAAAAAACTAATGGTGATATTAAAACACACATCATATAATTAAGTCTGCACACACGATGCTCGTTTTCCTGCTGGATTGTTAGCTGGATTAAAATCTTGTCATCGTTTTGGCTGCGATGCTGTCAGTGCCACAGGCTTTATTCAAAGTTTATGATATAGTGTATTACATCTAACTTTAAAGAATAAGTGTCTTTTTCTTTTTTTTTTCTTTTTTTTTTAGTCAGCGGATTCTATGATGCTTGGTAGTTTGCAAAAAGGTTCATTAGATATTATGGGTGCTGTGGTAGAATTAACAGTTGGGGAAAGACCAGGTTTGGAATGGATTTTAAGAATACAAAATCCTAGTATGTGTTCAGTATTTGAAATCGCGACGCCTTCGAAAGATGCTGCGTTAGAATGGATGTCAAGTATCAAAGAGACTGCACAAAATGCAAGTGTTAGGGTAAATATATAATTTCCTATTATATAAAATTTAAATATTATTCAGCATCGTGCACTTTTTACTGCTTTTGTTAGGAAAGTCAACATAAAGAGATGGAAAGAGCATGGAGAATAGCCAAGGAAATGTCTAATCTTATAGTATATTGTAGATCAGTTGCATTTAACATAGAACGAATAAGAACTAAGGGATATACGTTCAATGAAATGAGTAGTTTCCCTGAAACAAAGGCTGAAAAATTAATGTGTCAACAAGAAAATAAATTTTTTATAAAGTATCATCAGGTAATAAATATTGAGAGATAAAGAGAATATGGATGGATTAAAATAATGAGATACAAAAGTAGATATTTAGTAATAAATTGTTTTTCTTTATAGGTTCAATTTAGTAGAGTTTATCCAAAGGGCCAACGTATCGATTCATCTAATTATAATCCTATACCAATGTGGAATTCTGGTTGTCAGATGGTAGCTTTGAACTATCAGACTGGAGATAAATCAATGCAATTGAATCAGGCTAAGTTTAAGGAGAATGGCAATTGTGGCTATTTATTGAAACCAGAATTCATGTTTAGACATGACTTTAATCCATATGACAAAAATACATTGTATGGAGTTGAATCACTCAAAATCAGCTTAAAAATTATTGGAGCGAGACATTTAATGAGATCGGGAAGAGGCACTGCCAGTCCATCCATCGAGATCGAAATTATAGGCGCAGATTTTGACTCTGGAACAAAATTAACAACAAGGACGATACGTAAATGTCTATATTTCAAATTATAATTTTATCAAATACTACATTAACTCAATATAATTTTTCAATTTATAGAGGATAATGGATTTAATCCAATGTGGAATGAAACATGTGAATTTGAAGTATTCAATCCATATTTTGCTCTTATACGATTTTTAGTACAAGACGAAGATATGTTTGGCGACAGCAATTTCATAGGACAAGCTACTTATCCTGTAGGTATTTAATCATTATTTATAAAAATATTTGATAAATATGCCGAATAGGGGAAACAGTTCCGATGATTTTAATTGACTCTGACATATGTTGACCCTGACATATGTTGACCCTGACAAGGTCGTGATCCTGAATGACCTCCACCAGGTTTTAGCCATCGCTCGTCATTTATTAAAAATTTATTAATAAAAAAAATTTTTTAAATGATGTCCCTTTTCTACTATATAAAATAGAATTTTCTGCTTTAAAATATATTAGGTGGGAAAAAGTTCGTGGCATTTTTTCCGTTAGATGTAACGGGAAAAACGCCACGAACTTTTTCCCACACCTAATATTTTACAACTTTCCATGCGAAGCGATTTATTTACTCTCACCTCACCTTCCCCCTGCCAAGGGACACACGATTTTCCATATCTCGCCAAGTTACTTCGCGTAGAAAATCGGACGCTCCTTGGCAAGGGAAAGTCATGCGCACTGAAGCAGGGTGAGGAACTGGGGTGAAAATCGCTTCGCCCGAAAGTCTTTACGTAAACAAGAAAGGGTATAGAATAGTTTTTAATATTGTATGTAGCAGAAATAAAAACATTCCCTGCTTTAACAATGCAAATTTTCTGTTCTAAAATACAAAAATTAGATAAGAAATTATATAAGAAAATATTTTGTTAAAGCTGGGAATTTGTTTCATCGGAGCACAGTTGTATCCAAAAGTTAGATTTTATTGATGAATTCTTTTTGTTAATAACTTTTTAATGAATAACGAGCGACAGCTAAAATTTGGTAAAGATCACTCAGAATCATGACCTTGACAACATATGTCATCAGAGCTGTCTCCCTATTCGGCTAAATGTTAACCAAACATTTATGTTTAACGTTTAGAACATTTTTACTTAAAAACTTCGTTTCCTATTCAAACTTCATTTTATTCAGGTACGCTGTTTAAGAATGGGATATAGAAGTGTTCCATTAAAAAACATATATAGCGAAGATCTTGAGCTTGCTTCCTTATTAGTACACATCAATATTGCAACTCCATCGGTATTGAGATATTTCCAAAGTTATTTATTATATTGATATTTAAATTAAAATTTATTATTATTATTTAAATTAAAATTTATATGACTGTTTTTATATTTTAATGAAATTTTTTTATCTCTTATAGGTACATAATACATAAAATAAAACAATCAAGATTAAACCTTTGTTATAGAAT